GAGTAGTAGGTAAGAAGACGACACAACAGCTATGAGCCAATTGATTAATAATATTTACGTAATACAATCATTCGTTTCCCATCAATTATTTCTTTTCGATTTATTGAACATTATTGCTATAAAATCTTGAGACTTCAATAATGTGAATAAATCATAACATGAGGACGTACGCATTTCATGATTGAAACTATAAACTTTACACCACTCCGTGCATTATTTATTCGTATCTACGTCAATTAATAGTTCACTTGAGAATGTAGAGTACAACAAAGATGGAGAATTTTAAATTTGTTTTTTCCAAAAGTTTACTTGACTGAAAATGAATACTATTTATAACATTGATCAAGTTTGTTACATTTCAAAAAGAACATTAATTAACAACAACCTATAAACCCAAATAACAGATCCTTGTACAAAATTTCAAAAATACTTGAATTTTGTTTTCCCAATAACTTAGAAAAGAGTGAATTTAAAAAAAAAAAAAATTTTTGAGTCATCTGGTTATATAGCATCAAATTGAGATGACGAAGACTGATTATTTCACCTTGTCCAAAACGACTTAAGCCTTCGAGTAATTTTAATTAGAGGTTAGTCAAATATCTTTTACATTTAGTTTATAGCATAATTTACTCGTAAGTCCGAAAAATTCCATATGAAAAGTTATAATGTTTTAGCTCGCCTAATTTAAAATCATACTTAAACAAAGTTCTTTCATTGAATTTTTTTTTTTTAAATCACAAGTAGTTAAGCCGTTAAGGACCTTGATAAACATACGGTAAAAACAAAAAAATGGTGAACATATACGTATAGAGAGGTAAGGATAATATAGAGTATTCGTATATTCGTTCAAGGAAGATGTCGCACGTGTGCATGTTATCACACACGTACAAACAAAAACCCAATTAGGTAAAGCTACAAAGCCTACACATTACCTTGGAATGAGGTTTTGATTTGAGTCCATCAATTTCTTTTGGTTTCTCTCTTTTTGTCTTTGTATTATTTAATTACATGTCGTCCCAAAATAAATTGTAATTTAGATTCACAAAATCATAAAAAGTATTTAATAAAGTAAAAGACTTAATAGTACTTGTCAAGTTAATTAAGTAAGATAAAAAATTAAGTAATCAAAGATAAAGCTTTATCGTACGTTTATGTCAAATCTGATTAATCTTTTTAAGAATCCGAAGTTGCATTATCTGTAAGCCCAATTTCAATTATTTATATTTTCATTTTGTTTTTTTATATAGTTCATGTACAACAAATTTGTATTTTTTTTTTGTAAGTTAACTTAAGCATATTGATTTTTTTTTTTTGTCAACCTTAAGCATATTGATTACAAATCGAATGTATAAAAGTACATAGAGCTATTTAAATACAAATGGATTACATAAACACCTACTACAAGAAGCCATCAAAAACAAAATTAAATGATAAGCTACTTCTTCGTGTAGCTTAGATGATCACTTTTCTTATCCATATATGTTCTGCAATAAATTAAATAATTTTAAAAATCTAGATTTTTAGTCGGATATATGATTCATTCTGTAAGAATT